AGCTTTATACAATTTCTTTTTCATTCTACTTTTTGTTATCAGATTTTATAAAATATATTTTGATAAACTTTACTAATGCCAAAGCTCAAAGCACTATTAAAAAATATTTTTGTAGCTTTTATTAAATTTGGTTCCTGTCTAAATCTGCTTTCGTGCTGTTGATGTTTGATAAAATACGGTGGTGATTTTCAGTGGTAGTAACTACGGATCTACAGAAGAGGTGTTGTGTGAGTTTCACTGTCATGGCGGAAAACCGGAATTGCTTCCGAAGAACAGTCGTGCAAAACGAGTGTTATGGCTTTCGGTAATCGTCTGCTTGTCGTTCATGATTTGTGAAGTAATTGGAGGTTGGATCGCACAATCGTTGGCCATAATGACTGATGCAGCACATCTAGTAAGAGCATTAGAACTTTACAAAAAAGAAGTGTAAATGATTTTATTGAGACTTGTAGTACGGTAACTAGTTAGCTGCTGCTTTAAAAAGTCTGAAAAAACTCCAAAAGTGTCTTTTTGTAGCTTACTGATTTTGCCAGCATGCTGGTATCACTGTTTGCGTTGTACCTTGCGGACCGCCCAGCCTCTCAACGAATGAGTTTTGGTTGGTATCGAGCAGGTTAGCCTTTTCTTCAACGGCGTGAGACAATTTTGTTTCTGTGATACTAAGAGCTAATAGATAAGTTTCTTGAAAATAAGAGATGATTCTTTGATAAGGCCATATTCTTTTCTTGACTCATTCAGTTGTCAGAAAAAAAGACTTTTTGCTTTTCTTGCATTTCTTATAATCTTTGAGTGCTTCTGTTTTATTTTACTTAGCGTTCTACACAGCCTCTGTGGAAGTGACGCGAAGCAGAAATTGTTATTCAGAAGTGCTTGAGAAGTTATTGGTTGGTAGCATTTACGTAATTTACTTCTAAAAAATCAAAAGACACTCTTAGGTGACTGATAGCTCCCCGGTGTTTGCCCTCGGCCTGAGAGATGCTTAAATAGCGATATTATTTTGTACAGAATATCGCTGCAGTCAATTACATTTGTTGACAACAGCTAATTTACCTATCACTGAGCTGGTTAATAAATGAGTCTTTATGCTAAAATAACACATTTTTCTTTAAGTTATATTGACAGGGAATAGCTATTTGAAATCCTGTTTGGTTTTATCATTACAATAATGAATGACTTCAAAATAAGCTATTGATCAATTCTTTTCTTTCTTTAATTGAACAGACGCTATTTCTACTTAAAAATAGTAATTTTTTAAAACAGTTTATTAAATGTAATCTTGAGTGTCGCAGTTTGGTGTTTTGCTGTATTAGAATGTTGCCGGCTTACTTAATCGACACAGTTACTTTAGAGATCTACGAATCTTCAGTTAATAATTTACCAGAACTCCACAGTATATTCTGAAAGTTCTTCATTCCACTCATCCACGTACCTGACGTAGAAAATTTCAAAAATACTGCAGTTATTTAGGGTTAATTGAGAAAAACTAATCATAAAACAATTCTTTTTGAAACCTTTATCACACTACAGGTGTTCCTCTCTGCCCAGTGACAGAAAAGCTACGACTAGTTTTTGTGTCAAATCTGTTGCAGCAGAAGCGGTTTTTGAACGATTTATCTTTCATCTTTCTCTAACCTAAAGGCGAAAAAAGTAATCAAAAAAAAAAATTTGAAAAATATTCCTTCCTTTTTTCTCTTCGTTCATAAATACTTCCAAAAGTTCTCAAGACCTGTTTCTGAGATCTTATTCTTCTAAATTATCTTTCATCGCATTTGTCACCTGTGATCACTCATATGGAAAGAGGAGTAATGATGAAAGATTCTTTCTGTTAGTAATCTTCTTGTTGCTTAGATTACGCTTAGGCTATAAGATAACACTGTTAAAGCTTTCATCTTAGATTTCAAACAGCTCGATCTTTGTTGAAATAAATTCCAATAATTTTTCAGAAGTGCTAGGTGCTTTCTTCTCCGTCTTTCTAATATGGATAGTCACTGGTATCCTTGTGTATATGGCTGTGGATCGCATTATCAGAAAGAACTATGACATTGATGCACGAATAATGGCTCTAACAGCGGGGCTTGGAGTACTCGTTAATATTGTGTCTGTTTTCGCATTCTTCTTATGCTGTTCTGATAATCCAGAGCTCTCTGTTACTATCGTATTCATTAGATAACTAATTACGCCTCTGTTATTTCATAAAATTTTCTGTTTTTTTAAACCATCACTTACCTTACTAATCGATAATAAATATTTTTAAGTGCTTATATAGAGTTAAAAAACAATCTTCTGACATTCACTTGCCTGTGAGTTCTTTTTTACTAAAATCCAGTGTAATTTAGCATGACGGCACTACTTTACTTCGGTGGACACACGCACTCCCATGGTAGAAATGCGCTGTCAAATAGCGAACAACGATCAGAGGGTGCTAACAGAAGTAGCAATGAGGGCAGTGATCAGAATATTAACGTACGTGCTGCAATGGTTCATGTCATTGGAGATATGATACAAAGTATTGGAGTTCTAGTAGCAGCTGTAGTTATATACATCAATGTAAGTCTATTTCATCTTTTTATCAGATTTTAAAAAGCATTTAAACTATATAGATCTTGCAGCATCCGTCCAATAAATAGATGATTGGAAGGTCATTTTAAGGTTTTTATTACAGCAATTTTTAGAAAGACTATTCCATAATAGATCCTATCTGTACCTTGGTATTTTCTATTATTGTTTTATGTACTACATTCTACATCATACGCGATGCAGCCGTCGTCTTACTAGAAGGTTCGTTTTTTTTAAAATCCCCTCAGCAAACAAAGTAAATCACACTTCACATCTATTTACCTAAAATTGTACCAGTCAAGTCAACTTGTTAAGGCAGGCCTTCAAGCATCGATTATCAAGCAGTCTTTGAATCACTGGAAAATATTACTGGAGTTGAAAAAGTTCACGATTTGCGCATTTGGTCACTGACACTGGACAAAGTTGCAATAAGTGTGCATTTGGAAATCAGTAGTAGATCTGATTCTCAGCGTGTATTAAAAGATACAACATTAATGTTGAGGAACGAATATGGAGTGCACGAGAGTACTGTACAAATTGAATGTTATTCAGAAGCGATGGATGACTGCAACTTTTGCGTTCGGCCAGACTAAGTTGTTCCGATGTTCGGGCCGTAAGCACCCTAAAATCTTCTCGCTTGGTTTAATTGATGTCATATGGCAGAAACAGATAGCCTATTTTAGAAGCCGTTATCTTTTATCCATACATTAAACTGTTGGTGAACGATATCCCGCGAACAAGTTTCAGTTCTGATTTGCTGCAATTCGATTTTACTTTTTTCACTGCTACCTTCCTAATATATTCGACATTATTTGAACGAATTAAAAAAGATGTTTTGTATGCGCATTTCTGATTAAACTCTTCACCGTTTATGAAAATGTTATAAAATCGCCAGCAATATGTGTCAAAACAATTTAATAATTTTTCTTAAGGACTTTCCTATGGTACATTTTACAGGATAACAGCAGCAATCGTGCGTGATAAGATTTTTATTCATTTTTCTCTTCCTGAGTCAACGATGGATCAAAAGTATAACAAACGGCAGAAAAAGGCAATGGTTCTATTGACAAAATGAATTAATAAACAATATCCCGAACCTTTTTTAAGACACTAAAATTTGTATAAATTAAGCTGTAAAAAAGCTGGCAAGTTATTCTGAACATTATATACCGAGCCCCACCGCCTCTAATTACTTAATTTCTTTTAACCCCGCATATTTTTCAAAATTTTACATTCCCTTAATTTTATAAAGCTAAAGCAATATATATATATATATATATATATATATATAT